TATACATATATCCGCAAAATAAAAACGTGTAAGTTTTTCTCGGATAATGATGCAGTCCTTTTTACTGATACAATATATACATTTAGATTGAATTTTTTCATGTCAAACACCATCCACCTTCACAGAAGCTTCAAACGTTTGAGTTTTTAATATAATAACAGACATTTAGGTGATTTGGTAATCGAAGAGACCCAAAAAAGATTTCAAGGGTGTGGCTCTATGAGCCTTCACGTCTACAATAAAGTGATGTGGTTTATGGAAATGAAAACTCATCGTAGAAAGTGCTCTAGATGTAATTACTATAGCTTCGTATTTAGTTAACTAAATTGTCGGAGCTACGATAATCTATGAGCACACAAAGCCATTGAACGCCGCGTACAAAAAAATCTAGGCTTGGTAATATATTCCAACAATGAGAGTTGCCACATGTATACAAGCACCGCATCTGTGGATTAAAAACCGACCTTTCACCAAAACAGATACGTTTCGATAGATATTGAATATAGAACATTATAAGCAAACGTTTTCTGAGGTATTTTAAGGCTTAAAAGTAAACATTCCGCTCATTGTAGGCAGCCTAGTTCTAAATGGCGAAATCCAGCTATGACACTATAACGTGCAATGTCCCATTGCAAATTGCTTGCTATATAAAGCTTATGCTAGGTCCAAAACTAGCAATAAAATAATCAGGTTTAGCTATACAAGTGTTTAGGTATAAAAAATGGTTTTCAATTGATGATATTCTAAATTTCTACGACATCCTCGTTACAAACTTCCGAATCTCGAACCGCTTTAATTGGATAGCATAAAATACATATTGTTTGCTTACTACAAGCATCAGATAGGCTTGCTCACTGAGCACTAGTCTCATAACTGAGAATATTACTATTGCAAGTTATACGTGAACTATAAACTTGAAGTTTCCCTGCCACCTGTTTAACTTGAACCATGCGTTCAGTGCTCGTGACATAAGACCACAGATCAACCAACTCAACGACCGATTTGTTAAGCATTTTTCCTTGGCAGTTCTTCTAATTATACCAATATAGTAAAGTGTCGAAGTGGATAGGATAAAAACCTAGGGAGGTCTTCGCAGCGATAGCGTGTTCTATTAATATTGTTAGTTCTTTAAGAATATAGGTTGTAGGCCTCGGCTTTCAATATGATACACTGTTGCTAGATTCCGGATACTGGCGCAATACGCTTCGCAAACGGCATCTCCATAAAAATAGTACCGCTGGCTTGCATTTGTACTTTTGAAATTATTGACAGTATATAACTCTATTGCAACGCCAAAAGCTTCCACGGAAATATCATTTATTTATCATTCCTCAAGGGATATCATAGGCCTATGGCTCCGCATTAATGACACATACGATACGTTCCGAATGTATACGGTTGTGTTTTGTTTTTGATTGAACATACGAAAGACTCATGCAGGATATACGTCTGAATCCTTAACAAATGAACGGAATCGATGTAGGTCGTATCAAATATTAACCGTGTGAGCGAAAAGTTTGCGGTTTAGATGGCTAGACATTTTTGCTCTGTATAACAAACGCGTACGTTACGAGCGATCGTAAGTGGGTTACGGATGAAGCGTACCATGGCATCGAAAATTTGTTTGGAACACGGCAATGATAGTAAGTGTATAATAGAGATTTTGTCATAAAACAAAAAAAAAAATGCCTATCTGATGTAAACAGTATTTCCATAGAAAAATCACGCAATATTTTCATGTTCTAAATTTCGTTAGTGTGATTTCATTAAGCAAAGAAGCTCATTAAGCACCATTGTCCTATGTAGATCTTCGAAGCAATTGTACTACAACAAAATCTCTATCCAGGTCCCCCCGAAGATGCACCTACCTGCTTGCCTATGTCTATCAGTGCACATATGAATTGCGGCATATCAACGAAATGGGCGTCGCCGCCGCTTACTCTGGAAGTAAAATTGGTCTCGTGAAGGCTGTCCTGACACTTCTTAGAAATTCAAAATACATATTCATTAAGCTTTAATTTAGGTAATCAAAATTAATAGATTATAGTTTATGGAATTCGTTCCTAAGACGGCGAGTTGCGTGAAAGATATTGGTTTTTCCGCTCAACGCGCTCATGTGCAGGATTAAGGTAACTATGTTTCCTGTTTAAGACTAAGATGCAGCTGTTCAACAAAGCTTACAATTAGAGAAATACAGTATAGGTCATCCGTTCAATAAAAGAAAAGAGCGCCACAAAGGATTCGTAGAGCTGGCTGGTTGCAATACGCAAAACTAAATCGAAAAAAAAAAAAAAAAAAAAAAAGATTGTGAATGCCACCCTTGAAAATATACATGAAGATAAATTAAAATGGGAATCATGGGAGTAATTCTTCTGCACAGGCGCGTTCTAACGCTGTTACTTAAAGAGGAATATATGTTTCGAAGTAATTATGTTGGTCTTCCATACATTATGCTTATTAACAACACTTAAAAGTGTAAGGTATCGCTCTCCAATGGGTCCTAAACAGTCATGCAGCGGAAATCTACCTGGCCAGCCTTCGATTCTTTTATTGTGGGCACAGCGATGCAGTACAAACGTTGGCTAGTTGAAGTACTGCTTAATTTATCTACAATGTATTTAGCTCATTTTTGACCTGTGGACAGATTATGTAAACATTGACCAAGTTGAGCTAGTTGTTTCTTAGGTAGGAACAATATGAGTACCGCAAAAACCTAACATTCGCACATCTCTTACGGGCATCAGTAATTTTTGGCTAGATACTACATCGAGTGTTAGCGGATCGCATGCCTAGCAAAAAAAAAAAAGAACGGACGTATCTGCTCATCTAATATAGGCTAAGAGCCCTACGAATGTCCAACGTTCTGTAACTAATTATGGTTCTGATCGAATATAACTAGCAGTGAATGTAACAATAATATTGCTAGATATATTTACATATCGGTTTGCGCGCAGTAGACATCAGACATCCGCTTTCACTATGTGCGCTACCTGTAGAAGAAAAGATCGCTCAGAAAGGCTATCGTTTGCACCATCAATATGGTGTGACACAATGGGTCACAAGGTGAAGCGACAAGACCTCAAAGCGAAAAGTTACCGGTTGATGACGGCAGCGTAGTTCTTCCAAGTTGTTCTGATAGCAGCGGATGCATATATTAGAGGCGGTCTACATGCCGCGTATTGGTTCGTTCAATTCATATATATGTATTTTTGTGTCTCTGTGCGTAACGCCATCTGTTTCTGCTTTCCGTAACGAATCAGCAAGCGTGTTATCGAGCTTAGATTATGCCAACCAGATAGCTCAATCAGAAACACTCGCAGGTGGCTTATTTGGACCTTTTTACTCCTTTTCTATTACAACTACTACTATAAGCAGTTTGCAAGCAGCTTCAACGGCGCATCCGTGAACGGCGATAATGTGTCGAATACAGATAATAGCATGTTGTTTTGTGTTTTACCAAGTTTAATCACTTTATCACAAAGAAAGATGAATTGAAAGAAGGCAAGATACCGGGTGACAACTCAGAACCAAATTTAGGCCGGCACTTAGAATTCTTTTTGAGCTTGATGTTGTGAAAATCCCCTTGCCTTATGTTACGATCACGTTATCATTTAGCAAAGGTGAACAACGAGGCTTGAGGAAACGTTTGGTACCAACAACAATCGTCTGATTGTCACGAGGCACTTTCTAACCGAGTACTGGCATCTGGTAAGTGCGAACCTCCTTCCAAGCGAGAGGGCTTTTCACCACTGGCTAGAAGGACTCCCTTGCCGCTTTACCCGCACTCTGGGCTATCAGTGCAGACTTTTTCTGTGAGCGTCGTCCGTAATAGCTGATTGTTCGTCGGGACTACGAGCCGGGCCGCCAACCGTCCGAAGCGGTTTCCAAGCGTTGAAGTTCAAAACGTGTTCTGTCTCGTGCGTCTGGGTACCCGGACGGACGCTCTACACTAGCCGGCTTGTCGGGGCAGACATGTGCGAAGATATCCATTAGCACAGTGTGTGAGTGAAGCTGAAGCTGAAATGAGGCCTAAATCATTACTACTCTTAGCGTTTATCGCTTGGACGGCAGTTGCTGTAGAACACGAAGACCAGCATCGTGACCTTCGATTAGAGAGGCAACTCGGAGATGACGTCCCACTTGACCCTGAATCGCAAGAGAGACTCGTCCGCATAGCTCGTCAAATGGGAGCTATTGTAACAACCGAGCCATCAATCCATGTGACCCAAACGCTTGCGAGGCCCACCATTGTGATGGACGAAGTTGACTCAGCAGACTGGGAGCTAGTGGCGCCTACGAAAGAGGGTGAGACACCGGATCGAACAGTGCAGGAACGAATTCAACGAAAACCTAGGAAGATCAACCTTAAGTCGTCACCTTTGGTGGAATGGAGAACTGGTCAGCTGTTGCCCAAAGACAGTTTGTCAGAAACGGTGACCTCGGCGGAGAAGAAATCTATTGGCAGGTACTTTGAAACTATCAAAAATCGGATTGGCTCATTAAAGTCAATAGACTTTCCAAAAGCCGAGTTCCGTTCCATATGGTCACACACTGAACCTGAAGATTTGGCGTCGGCTCAGTTTCGTGCCGAAGGTCGTGAAGATGGCGACCCGCTTCGTGAAAGGTTATGGACAATACCTTCGAAAAAAGCTAAGCCGCAACAGCAGTTACAGGCGAAGAAACCTGATCGTAAACCGCCTCGCAAAAAAAGACCATATCAAGGTGTTTCGACCTCGAAGCCGTCCCGGTATATCGCTACCCCGGCAACGCAAACAATAACTAGCTTTCCTTCCCCGAACGAAACGGCCGTTGAACATGCGTTCACTGCAGCTTCTACGTTGCTTGATAATGACGATGCCACTGAAACCACCCTGACTAGTCAAAACACTTCCGAGATGCAGACGGAAACACCTCTAGAAGCGAGCGTCGACAAATATACGCGTGTTCCTTATAAGATGCCATCGTTTGCTGGTCTATTAACACACGACGAAGTTGACAAAGTCATGTCCATAGATGAGAAAACCAAAAATATTCTACAGCAGCTAACTGCGTTAAACCTTTATCAGGAATTGCCGATGGAAGTAGAAGCTGACGAAGACGATGCTCGACTTTCTCTCGATGACTCTACTACACAGCGAAATGAAGAAAGCATTATTGATGACCGCGATGAAGGGGCAGTTGTCGATTGCTCGCGCGAAGTCCACTACAGTGTATATGGAGGTACAGACCCAACAGCGCGACATCAACTACGTCAAGAACTTTTTGTAGGCTCTGGGTCAAACGCAGCATTCAACGGCCAATCATCGGTGATAACGAGTACAGTATACGCGTAGCTTACAAAATAGTTTCATGTTTGATTTATTAATTGGATAACTTGTCAATCTTCTGTGTCACAATGACCTTTGTCACTTTATCATATAATCGTTCGTTTATAATTTGGACCCTTATTCAACCTCTCTTCATCTTACGTAGAATTTATACAACTGTCCAAAAAGAAAATATATCTTGAAATGATTCTCATTGCAGTTACATAAGGCGCATGCAAATGAATTGAAATCACTTTTAAATATTGTCAACTGTTAGATACGCTAAAAACTACACCGAATCATACTGGGGCACTTGGACAAGCAGCGTTGTCCAGAGAGGACAAGGTGGTGAATGATGACCTTCAGCAGCTAACCCTGCATCCAGAGGATATGGAACTCCAATACATCGAGAGTCCAGAAACGGATAGTGACCCATCCGTTACGTACGTTTCCACAAGGAGTCCTAAGTAAGTAATGTATTTGGTACGAATCCCACAAGTAATGGGGGTGCGTATAATCATTCTTAAATAGTTTAAAAGTCGTCAAGAAATCCTTTGGACTAATCGGTGTGATTTGTTATGGCCAAGTGTTGCAACAGTGAAATTTCATAGAAAAGCTTAGGGTTATCTGTGCTTCGGTGGCTATGTACAAGCCGCAGAAGGTAGTGTTCTATCACTTTTGGTATCGAAACGATGCTCCGCTGCATATTTCTTTGTTTATGATAACATAAAATGACTAACTCGCCGACATGCGTTACTTATTGAAATTTTCCAAGAAATATTTGTGTTGTATGATTTGAATAGTTCAATCTGCTATTCCCATAAAGCAGTTCTATGCATATGGACGAGCCAGGTTGAGCGATCCCTTTTGCTTTACTGCAGATATATACGGCATGTATCAATAGATTGAACATGACTTTTGTTATCTCGACAACAACATATAGTACACCACAATGTGATGATGGAAGATATTCATAACAGGTGTAAAAGGGTATTCCAGACAAAATACAATCATGTTCGTACATATATACAATTTCCGTCCGTTCTCCGAGGACAGACACGCATTAATTTTTTTATTTCAGAAATATCTCGTCTGACAACAATTCAGCCATCTTGAGCCGTAACGGCATTACCTCACATGTTACATATAACAGAAAAGTGACCCGCAGACCAACTGAACGTAAGTTTTCCACAATTATAACACCAACGTGCATCTAAGTAAGTAGACTAGGAGTCATCAATAACAATGGAATGTTTAATCTCTGAATTTAACACCGTACCACATTGTCGCTGGCAGCAATGCTCAAGCTACACTAAGAATTATCCTCAACTACTTACATGTGGTTGTCCTATTTATCGCACAGGTATTGTTTCGTAAAAAAAAAAATGCTGTTTCTGCACACTTGCAGCATTTCCCGACTCAATGTTGACGATGCCTAATATAATCGATACATAAACGGCTAAAGACTGGTCCCAAATACCAAAAACTGTTTCAATAAAAAAAAATTAATTTTTCTTGCAGGTATGTCAACAACTCGCCGACCCATGAGACCCGGAAGTTCAAAGCAAACATCAGCATCGACGGCTAGAACCACCACTGCCACCGCCATTATGATAACACCAGCCCCATCAACGGCTGATGACAGTTTGGATGCCACTTTAGAGGAAGTCGACTTCGACAAGCAGAGCCAGGTCACCGATGAACCAGATTTAACGACGGAACCATTAACCACTACGAGTATCAACACGACTATGCCGATGGCGACGATGACAGTGACAACAATGACGCCACGACGAAGACCAGGCAAAACGTTAACGAAGAAGGCATCGCAAGCACCGGCAGGCGGTAAAAATCTTACAGATGATCATAGCACTACTACTTCTACGGCTGGTACCAACAACAGAGTTCACCAGAAGAAAAATAAAAAGAAGAAACAGCAGAGTATGGATTCGACAACGAAAGTACCATCAACAAATGGTAGTTTTATGGCGATTAGTAAATCTCAGCAAGGGTCAAATTCTAAGAGCGATTCAACGACCGTTCTATCACCGGTTACGTATCAAGTGCCGCAGGTGATTTTGCCACCTCCACAGCTTTCAATGAATCCGCTAGCAGCTCTTACTAATCTCCTGCCGCTTCTGCAAATGCTTAACAGGCCGGCACCGCTATTCTATCAGCAGTTGTCCCAGATGGCAAGTCAAACTGCTGGTGTCGGCGGTATCAAAAACAGTGTCAGTCGGCCTCAGCAACTGCAACAGCAACAAGAGCATGTCACTGTTAAACCTATGCAGTATCAACAGGTGCCTCATTATAGCGTACCTCAATACGGCATTAGTAGCCCTTACTACCTTCCTCACGTCTATACACAGCAACTAGCTAACATGTCGGCTGCATCGACAACGACCCCAACGCCATTAATTCCCACCCCACTCAGCAGGCCAATGAGTTTACCTCAGATGATTGAACCGTTAGCAGAAAAGCCGAATTCTGCTAATAGTAATATTGCTAACCCAGGGAAGAAGACGCACTTCCAAAGGAAGCCACAGCAGAAGCCTACGTTACAGTTAGGAGGGTCTAATCAACAGCTTCCAAACATTGCTACCACCATTCGCACCATGATGCATCTCCTGAACGCTAATAATCTCATGCTTGCTGGCAATAACGCGAATAGAAACAGTAAGAAGCATCGAATGCCAAAATTTGTTGATGTAAATGATCCATCATACGAACTAGACAATCAGCGCTTTCCTTCAAATACTAAATATGACAGTAACAAGTATTACAATAATAGTGGCAAGCGAAGGGGCGAATGGGGTAAACAGCAAGAACTTCGCCACGATAATTCGACGCAAGACAAATTTCTCATGGACCCAGTAGCTAGAGCGCTAGATACATTTAAGTCGCGTGCGATGACAAATTCTCAAAGTAGATTCGTTACATCAGAATCCGCTAGAACAAAACCTATGGTATCGTCTGCACTAACTCACAAATACAACGACAAGGTTACGCTTTATGATGAAGACCTGCCGTCTGGTTTTCCTCAGCTCTCAGATAAAGTGGATAGTCACTTCTTAAAACCTATCATGGGACGACGGATGGACATCAATGTGGTAGATGAGAATGACGACGCCAACGTTCTTGGCCGAACTATTGGTGCCGAAAGCAACTACAAGATGCTAATAGGTTTGCTAACTGGTGCCCTCAGCCGGCGGCGAGATTTTCGAAGTCTTGCTAAGCAGACCCAGAGACAATTCGACATTGAAAAGTCCCGCCAGATGGCGAACAATATGGTTATGAGATCGTTACTCTACAGTCCCCTACCGATGTACCAGCGCCTTCCGTCTCGAGTTGCGTGGCCTATGGTGCAGCAGCCTTCGTCGTCATTATCAGCGGCAGGTCCGCAACGGCCGCCAATCAATCTGGTGCACAACATCCCATCTGCTACCATCACCATTGGCGGTCGGCCGGTCCTCTACGGGAAACATCTCGTAGACCGGCCACGTCAGCCGCGATATTATTTTTTTGACGGCGTGCCTCGAAAAGGGCATACCATCAGCCGTTTCAATGAGCGCGATCTTAAAAGCGTTGAGGAAACCTTTGATACAACGTTTCCAAGCGCTCCTATCAAGAGTACATTTCGTTCCATTGAGCGACCAATGACAGCAGCGGTATCACTGCCGTTGACTTCGCAAACACCGGCTAAGCAGACAGCCGCCACTGTCAAGAACGATACACCTCTCGAGACCTCGTCCTCTGAGGGTCTTTTTCCAATTCAGAAACCTCTGAATTTTCTGGGTGGCCTCTCCGTTCGACAGCAAACGCTATCGGCACCTCCAAAACATCAGCCCAACGCGGACCAGCGGCAGCAAAATTTTTCTATGGAAATTCCATATCTTAACACAAGCCTGCCAGCAGGCGTTCGGATTGTGATTCCTACAACGACAAGTACAACTATGGCCCCATCGCCAGTGATTAAATTCACCAATCGAATTGGCGACCGTAGAACAAGGCGCTCTACCACGAATCAGACTGGCCCTCTCGACCGAGACCCTTCTATGATCCACCCTATATATCAAGTTAAAATAAATCCTTTTGTCTACGCACAAGGTTTGCTTGCTACTAAAAAAGGTCAAGCTAACGTTAACAATAAACCTGCGGTGCCTTTTTTTGAGTTTGTTGGTGAGGTGCGTCAGGGCAATTCAAGCGATCTGAATAGTTCTACGGCCTTGCGCAGGAGTTGCACCTCACCGGAACAAGCCTTCCTGCAGGTAAATGACTGGAACGATTTGTTGTATTCTACGGAATTTCGAAGCGGCTTTGATGAGTCGGAAGCTAGTATCAGTTCCACTACACCTTATCGTTACGACCAACGCCGGCCTGTAAGAGCCATTGAGAACTCGGAAATTGACGACTTCAGTCGGTGTTTCTACCCGAATACGACGTTCTCGACGATGCTTAATTGTAACGATGATATTTATTCATGCAACAGAGGCACAAGAAGCAGAGAGGGCTGCTCGTGTGATGACGACTGCGTTATGTTTGGAGACTGTTGTTGGGATAAAGTAAGCGAACTTCAAAAGGAATTTGGCTCCTTGGCAGATATTGAGTATTCGCGAGAGAGGCTTAAGCTACTCACTTGTGTCAGGTCAAATAGGAATATTTCGTATCACATGATCTCGAAGTGTGATCCGTCTTGGAAAAATTATCCTGAGAGCGAGCTGTGTTCAGGATCGCATCCTGAGGACGCCCTGCTTCAAATTCCAGTCACCTCGAAAAAGACACTAAACACATATAGGAATATTGTGTGCGCTCATTGTCACGATGATGTGTTGGATCTAGTTTTTTGGGAAGTCGAATTCCACTGTCGTAAACAATTGCAAACTTTTTCTGTTCACCGAGCTATAGGTAATTGCCCATTCGGAACTAACCCTCCTGCTAGCCTCACAAGAAAGGAGAAACAGTTTGCCGCCAGACCCTGCAACCCTAACGTCGATTATGAAACCTCGACTGATTTAGAATGTGAGCACATTAGCGCCAATGAATCTGCGACAATTCGCGCTCCAAGCAGACATGTCGCTAATAGGTTGGCTGTCATGTGTGATCTCATCTATCTGCCAACAATCAACGTAGGCGTTTCGAAGTGCGATAGCGTATTCTACCGCAATCGATTTTGCGCATTGTGTCGGCGGCATTTGACACGGGATTTAAGATGCCCCGTCAATGCTGCGATGCCTATGCACTTGGACTCCGGTGAGCTGTCCGATGAAAACGAAACAAAATTTTATTTGAATCTACGCTGGCAGAACAGTGATGTGCTCTGCGATAAAGCCGATCATACGTTTGACCCGTGGAAAAAGGGTTGCCGCCAAATATTTTATGGCAAATCGTTGCCGCGGTGTGACGGCTCGGGGCCTGGGTCGTTGGCCAATAATCCGATGAGCTATTTTCTTGTCAGACAGACGTGGTTTAGTTACGTGTCAATAGGCTGTCTCGTGTTAACAATAGTTTCCTATTGTTTCGGCTGTGTTGATAGTAAGATTCACCCGTTCGAATCGGGACCGTCACCGGTGGATAATATCATACTTTGCCTCGTTTCTTCACTGTTGGGCGCCCAGCTCTTGTTTCACGTCTCGATTACAAAAAACAATTGTCATACGCGATTCACTTGCGTATACTTCGGCGTTGCCTTCCATTTCTGCACAATTTCCTGCTTTGCGTGGACCAACGTACTGCTGCATAAGGTGTGGACCTATCTCAAATACGCTGCTGAGAATAGTGACAAGCGGTTATCGACATTCTTCGCAGGTTACTGCCTCTACGCCTGGATCTTCCCTGCCGTAACAGTTGGAATAGCTAGTTTCACTAACCTTACTCTCGACTCGAACGACCGGATCTCGCCATGTTATGGTTGCCACGGCATTTGTTTCATTAGCAACCTTCCTGCTTTCTGGCTGTTTCTTGGTATACCCCTTATATACGCGGTGTCTATCAACATCGTTCGCTTCGCCGAAGTATTTCAAGAATGCCGGAACCAGACGGAGGAGGCGATGTATCATTGTATGGCTCGCTTACCCTTTCGGAGTGTCATTAGCGCAATTTTACTAGCAACATTGATACCGCTAACCTGGGCACTGGCCTTGACGGCCGTTTCTTTACACAATGAACGTGCTTGGCTGACATTTCTATTCTGCTATGCATGTCACGGTCCGATGTGTCTATTGCTTAGCGGGGCAGTTTTTCGTTACCTTCGTCCCTTTAGGCGTATCAGAGTTCTCTTGACCAGTGTACAGTTGTGCACCATAGATCATACCGCATGCCGCGTGGGGGCTAAAACCTCTAGTGCGAACGAGGCCGATTCCGATCAATCACGTAATCCGTTCGTTAAACCGGGTAAACGAGATAAAGAAGGCCGTAGTCAGCAATTGCGCTAACACGACTATTTATCGACCTCATGGCAGCCAATCGACTTTGAAATGTTTCCATAAATGCGTTTCTAATACAGAGATATTGGCCGTTTCTTTTCCACGCTAAGACAGATTAATGGTTATGAACTCCTGCCTTCGCCAGACGATTTACCCACTTATGAATGTTTCAATTAATAGGACCTTTTTAACGAAACACATTTAACGAAAATGAGGAAAATAACTTGATTTCTTTCGGAAACCGCTTCGTAATTTGGATTAGGACAAACCCTAAATTAGCTTCCAGTGAACCCTGCGTCCTGCAAACAAATCCATATAGAAGCTATTTAATAAAGATTTACTTTTCAGAGCTTCGAAACGATGAATCTAACCACATACACTTTGATTTGTTACAGACGGCTAATATCTCAAAGTAAGTCATAATCGCCTAGGACACCATCAGTGTGAGAAGATATAGTTTACGCTAACGTTGAGTAAATTTTCCCTTGGCTCAAGGTGCGGATCGTTTTAGCCAGGGAGTGCAAATACACCAAAAACTCTGCGGCATATTTAATGAGACATAAAAGCTTTATTTATTTCGCGGTCACAGTACCGCGTTGAACACATCAATTATGTAAGGGATGGCTTTTATGATGGCTATAACTAACAAATAAACAAACTATGATCTATTAAAACGTCCATACAAGCCTTATATAATATTGTATAATTTTTTTTTGCGTTTTCGCCTGCGCACAGGATAGGGCTTATGGTATTTGATGCTGCTGCATTGGAACTGCTGTTACAAGAAGACTATATTAAACCTGATAACCATATGGTACTATTAAATAAATTACAATAATATAACGTCACAAAGCTTGTATGATTAGGTACGGCACGTGTATGCGTTTCACTTTTAAGAAGGTTCATTGTGAATCGCCATTTGGATGCGAAGGATTCAGTCGCGTCTAATTAACAACAGAATGTAAATGCCATGACCAGTGCTTGTTATTTGTTTATATTCTTGGTATTTTTTTTTGAAAATAGAGAAGCGTTCTGATTGATGCTTTCTTATGAAGAAAAAAAATTCCTAAAATGTCACTTTTTTTAAGTCAGATAAAGTTAACTAAATTACAATGGTTAGTACACAACCGAATTGCGGTACATAGACAACACCCTTTGGCACGTTTGAGATTTCAGCACATACCAAAAGTCAGTCGAGTTCTTTTTTGCAAATAACTTCTGGTTAGCGTAGCGGCAGAAAGAATGAGCCAGGTATATGCTTTATATATTTAGGTATCTCAATTACTTAGCTTTACGATGAGCGGTTCGCCTTCAAAGACCTTGGCTTCCCGTAATCATAAACTCCAGCTGCCTGACAGCCAGGCAACAATGCTCCCGCGCCGTCATCCCGATTGGTCTTGATCCGCCTTCTTCCACGCGCTCCTTGTCTTTAAAATGTAATAATACACAGAATTTATTATGATTTTATTTCTATGGTAAAGTTATTTGATAGTCGTTTGTTACAGTTGTTTAGCTTATAGTGCTAACCAAGCTTAGGGAGAATAGTCCGTTTACCAAGTACTCTCTGAATCCTGGATGCGTTCTCCTTGGGTTTCAAGAGAAGGATCCAACCGTTTGTTTGTCTAGTGTAGCTGGATACCTCAATAAACAGCTACAGCTACTGTTTTATAAAAACATCGCCATATCTTGTTGTTACAAGAAACTCTAGTAATAAATTTTACAAGGAGGCAATGGACACTCGGGCAACTGTATGCGCCAACGGTATTAATTTGAATTTCGAGTTTAGGTTTTTCCCTGTTGGCTACTGTGTTTTTCGTCTATATTGATACATGTGACGGTCTGACCAATGCAACGTGGTCATTTTTCAGCTTGCAATTGTGGTACACCGACGTGATTTTATTACGTAAAAACAGCACCTATAGATGAGACATCTAGTTCTACGTTGACAAGCGTAGCAAGCGCCAAGTTGTTCAAACAATGTTAACATTATCTTCAGAAATATGAGAAATACACTGTAACTGATCTAGGCTGCATCAACGCTGATATTGTTTGTGGGTATTTCGAGCAGAAAAACCCTATTCAAGGGAACTAGATCCCCTTTTACAAAAGCACGCCGTGCTGGTCTTTATTCAGACGATCAGAAATCTGCTAGCTAACATGCGTACCCGAACAAACATTGCTGTTGGTACTGTTTACAAATAGCATTTGGAAAACAATTCCGACTATTTTTCCTCAAATTTCCTCGTAAAAACAAGTTTCCTTGCATTAATCGAACATTGTTTGCAGCTCTTTGCTGACAGAGACAATTAACACACATGCTAATACAAATATGTGCGGCAGTGGCCAGATAAAAATGGCGAATCAATGCGCTCTGCTATGATTGTACCTCTTTTGCAGACCACAGCTAACCGTTGGCGGCTGCTGTCTCCTGTCTCGTTGCCTATATCTCGTGTGCCCTGGTGCCCCCAACTGTTTACCCTGCTAATATTAAAATGCCAGCAAAACGATTCGATCATGCGAGATGCTCGAGGAGCTGTTTGCAGAGTGAGCAATCAGCTGGAGACGAGCTACCTTTCTCCCCATACTCGTCTAGAAGGAGTCCCGTCGAACAAATTCGAAAGGGCGAGCAGCAAACAAGCATCGTCGATATTCTACAATATCATTGCATTGCCTTCATTGTTATCGGCTGTCATCCCCTACGTTTTCTGCAGAATCTGCTATTGTTCCGCTAAACGGCCGGGCGCGTGGGTCAGCGACTGCCGTCCACGAGGTAAGCGAATGGTCGTTCAGATTTGGGCCTTCATATTCATACATAGATGTAGCTGTAGTAATTCATAGCGAAGTTTACTTGCATTGGCTACATGATTTCCGCTTGAAACCAAGTAGTGCAAAATTACGGCCCATTGAGCGAAACGCCCGCCTAGGTAGGGATACTGACAAATAAGCAAGTCCTCTTCGTTAGCCGGTGCACTTAGCCGTGGTCGATCAACATACTTGCGGATTCACGAGTTGGCAGAGACGTTTGTTACTGGAGTTTGCCTTAGACCATACCATAACCAATCGAGTATAAATAACCGTATATTTCCATTCTATAACATCACCCACATATACTCATCGTCTGCCTCACTCGTTTCGAATTGTTGCGACAATATATTTGGTAGCTGTTTTCGATTACAGGTTCTGTACGGTGGCATTATCAGCTTTCTTTGGCTTTGTAAGCCTTTAGTAAGTGTTTATATATCTGCTTGCTTAATAACAAATCTCTGCGCAGCTTATTTATGTTGTACGATCAGTCTATCTGTTCGGTTCTATATTTTCGTGCAAATAAAACTGCGCGTACACCCTAATGCTATTTCTTGTAATGACGTCTTATGTACTTTCATGTAGTTCGTTCGACATAGCCGTTTGTTGACCCCTCTGAGACTGAACAACCCGATTTTAGCTGGTGAAAATCGTTTAGTTTTTTATTTTTTAGTTATTTGGGTATAGACAGTTAGATTCAGACATATTTTACACTGTATCTCTTTAAATGTATTAAGTTATTAGGTCGTCGGACTTTTTCAAACTATCTTTAGAGCCTAACAAGCCACGGAACGACCACTGGTAACTCAACTCGGTGATAAACTCTAAACGATATAGAGTCTATAAAGAGTCTTGTTTTTTAAAAGTCCTTTAAACGAGTGAACGAATTCCCAAAACGGACCTGTTGTCTAAAAGCCATCACAAAAAAGTTCGTCATTACCCCCACAGGTGGATGGCGTACGGTTAGCGAAGAAAGACGGATTAGTGGTTCTGGCGTGCTTCATGCAGCTTGTCTGAGCGTTCAGTTGTCGGATACTGCGCTGCATGTAGAAGAGTCTCCCCTTTCTTTCACCGAAAATCTCTTGCCTGTACTGAGAAACCGATTTCCTTTACAGGGAAGTAGTACGGGGAATTCTTAACCTCGTAAACTCGCTTGATGCTAGCAATATATATTCACCTCTAGGTCTCTCCCATAGCTGTTTACGTTAAAATAAAGCTAATAGCACTCAAATCGGTTAGAGAGGGAAAACAGCTAACAAGATCTTTCCTGCTTCCTCTCCGCTATATATATATATATATATATATATATATATATATATTATACCAAACAACGTTGCGGCGACGGAGCATTGTAGAATCGCATAAGTATAGAACTGTGGCATGGTAATTCCTGGAATAATTAGCTGCTTCTCTCTTTTCACTGGCGTATATATATAAAAGTTGCCAATTTGAAAATGCTGCAGAGGCAGGAAGAAATTTCTAACAACAACGTTCGCTGCTCAACATCGCTCCCGTAGCCGTTGCGATGACGACAAACTTGCTTTCGTATCGTCGTCTTGTTGTTGACGCTTCCTGTGAAATATTATAGATCTACAGAAGAATATGAGAGAAGTACATGAAGCGAGTACAGAGCGTACGACCATCGCGAGTTGAAGTTTGCAGATACGATCACTGAACATAAACACAGAGAGACTATGTTAGAATCGTCTCCCAGCCGGTTGGAATGATATCCGTGGACGAACGGCAGAACATCATTTATAACACACTGTTTCTTCGTTCATGGAAAACAGTGGTAATAAGAAAAATGTTGCTTAATAGTAAACGCCGACTCAAATGTAGCCGTTCATCAAAAAAAGTGATAGATTTCAAAGCTGACATAATGTTTATGATTAAAATTAGATTAATAATAACAATGGTTGTTGAATTGAATCCCGCTGGCGGAAACAAGTCAGTAGTGGACTGAATCAATCATGCTGCATGTTTATATCATGCAGGATGTAGCACGTATGCAGGATTTAGGCAATGATAAGCTTTACAATGGTTCTGTTAGATATATTATATTTTGACGTAACTATAAAAGGATCGAAATATATTATATAATATACTTTTTACTATCCACACCTTTTACTGTACTTTATATATTCACGTCAATAGAAACTGTTGCTCGAGATTCATTTCGGATGAATTCTATAACATAAGCATTTGCTACCGCTAACTTCAAATACAACTTTGGACAAGTTTATCCGATATTTCTTCATGTAATGTGAACGGATAGTCTGTCCGAAAAATGTACTTATATACAACGTCGAGTCAAGGTCTTTTTTGGTATGTTACATTAGTCGATTTTAAAAATACGTGTTGAAGCTTGTTGTATAACAGCTCATTCAAATGATCCTTGCTACTGAACTAGATGAAGGTAGGAAATGTTTTAGACTTAATAGAAAACCTGTGCTTCAAGTTAACTCAAGTACGCAGGTGGTTAGTAGTATGACCCTAAAGGAGCTCTGCGATAAAGCGGAACACACAGAGCCTTCTCGTTGCTTGGGGGAAGTACTACCGAAAGAGGTCGTCGCCGCCAATACACCAACTATGGCTGCCTTACAGGCCAAAGTTTCCACTGAACTTGGAGAAGTGCTGTGCATGGCACTCGAGAACGATTTCAAGCTAGAGTTGGGGAGAAGTGCCAAAAAAAATGAAGAGGTATTTTTAGAATGCTGGGTTAATGCCTGGATCTGTAAATTATGATAATAATGGAAAGCAATGGGTTATGGCTACGGACGGAGTAAAAATAAACATTTTTCATACCCCCCGATCGTTTTGTCTTCTTGAGAACGAGAGGTCCTATATAGACAATCCAGCGTAATCCACAGACACCAAAGCAAACTGCATGAAAATACTTATCGCGTATAACGGGCGAGTTTTTTAGCGGCAGACATTTCTTCTGTATGGTCGCTAATAGATAATTAAATACTAACTT